GTCACAGAAAATTCGAAAGCTTGCTCTCTCTACTCACCTGATCTCACCTCTGTAATCTCCAGAGGTCCGTGTTTTATACCCTTTTCACATACTTGTATCGTTTATAGAATTTTTGAAATTCGATCACTGCTGGTTATCTTTAACTTTTACATTGTTAAAATTACAAAACTATGCCTTTCTTCTGTTTCCTTATATAGACCCACAAACATGTTCTTGAGTTTATGAAAGCTCATTTCTGAATTTCTATGTTCTTCAAACTTTAATCCTGATTATGTCCTGCTAAATCGCATGCTCTCAGTCTAGGCATCATAAAAAAGATGACCATGTCCTATCAATACATTGTAGCACAATTAATGTTTTCTTTTCCTTTTACTTGATACAGATTTTAAACTGAGGCAAATTTTTATAATTTTAAAAGGATGATTGTGACATAAATAATTTGTTTGTGTCGTCCATTCAATGACTTAATGTTTAACTAACTATCCAAACAATCCATTTAGTTACCTGCAAGTGTCCATGTTTTGAAAATTGTCCATTCTTTAAAAACGAATGGGCATTTAAACAAACAGAATGGATAGTTACAAGTTAATATTGACATGTGCTTAAGAGGCATACAAAAAAGACATTAAATACTATTTTATTTCAGTATAATTTCATGTAAATGAAAGAGAATGCAGAGCTTTAAGTTAATTTAGAAAACAATGTCTACTCAGCATTTGCTCAATCTGACACTTTTAAATCCAGGAACAATGTACATTATTTCAATGCTCAAAACTTAACGTTCACAACATTTGAATAAGTGACACAATTTCACATTTGATTTGAATTTCAGAAACCTCATGCATTCACTCAGAATAAATCAAAATTTTCAGAGCTAATATTAAATCATCCACCCAGAAAACAGTTTACACAATGAAAAATACATGTGCTGCTGCAGTAAATATTTCCTTAGAAATAAAAAAAAGTGAAACATTTACAGAATTTTTTTGAAAAATGTATTATCAGATTGAAATTTGGCTCATGGCTAATCCAACACCCTGAACACAATTTTCATCTCACTGTTACACTAATGCCGTCAATATTATCTTTTAAAAATTGAATTAAAAACACTTCAATATTTTCAAATTTGATTATCTGTACAGGTATTTCGTCGGAGAAGTTCATTTCTGGATCAAAGTTTGGCTAATATTTTTTCTGTTTCCAGATCCAAATACTGTAAAATCACATAAATGTATTTTCGAAGGGTCAAATTTTCGTGGTCTGAGAAAAATATATTGGTTTATGGGGATTTGATTTCCTGTTTAAAGAATTGTTCAGTAGTAATATATGTGTAATATTGCATTTTTTGGTGGACTTAAATTCGTGGGTCTCTTCATACCTTGAAAACCACACTAATTAAACCCCCACGAAAATTAGTGATTTCACAATATCACTGTTTTTGTGCCTCTTGTGGTTCAATAGAACTTAATTCTGTCATATTTTCTTTCGATCAGGGGAAAACATGTATGTTTGCCTCTACAACACAAATTCTAAAAATTTTCCCTACCTCACTCCCCTTCCAAGAAACGTTCGCTTCCTTGTAGATTCTGACTGGTTTGTTTGTTAAACATGTCGAGATTAAATATGTTAATTTCATGGTACAAAGGTAAACTATTAGTAAATATATTCAGCTGGTTAACATAACCTATTTGCATTCATAGATTATTTCTATTTATTTCAAGTCCCAGCTATCAGAAATTCAGGACAAAGTTTGAGGAAACACAAACATGTTAATATAATTTGCTAAAATTAGAGAAAGTTGCAGGTAAGATTACTTATCATAATTAATATTTGAAAAATATGTAATTGAATTACATTTGAAAATCCCATCGAGGAATTATAACGCATATTTAAATTTCGACAAATCTTCAATATTTTTTTCGTGGACGTTGGAGATATAAATTTATAATATTTTTTTAAAAAGCTAACTTTAGTTTTTTCCGTAATGAAAATGTCCAACCAATGCACTGAACGTCAGTATAATTATGAAAATTCCAATTTAGGTTCATGAACTCAAAACTAATGTAGTGAAGGACTGAGCCAAGGAAAAATCATAATTTAATTAAAAAACAAGATACCATTTCGGTCCAATCAATAGTTTTTTTCTTTATACCCTAAACAATCTTTACCTCAGGCGAATTCAACCCTGGCGCTCAGGATACCCCACCCATTTTTGTCCATTATAAAAATGATTTATAAATTTTAGTTGCAAAGTTTATTTAATAGACAATTAATACAAGACAAACAGATATGCATGCGATGGAACACTTCAAGTCTTATAGAAAAATATTCCTGAATAATCTTAATACATTGGACGAAACTTTCATTACAGAAAGTATGAAGCTATTCTGTTAAATTTATTATTTATCCGTTGAATAATAATTTCATTATTATTATTATACCCCCATACACACTTGAAAAGCAGGTGGTGGGTATAAAGTGATGGGAGTGTCTGTCCGACGAGCTGTCTGTACGTCCGTCCGTTATACTCTAGGGCACCCATCTCTTATCCGCAACTCCCCTAAAACCATTAAATGAAATTGAATAAGACTTTAACAGATTCTTTGTTTCATAGGACCAATGTGACCTATAATTTTACTTTTTTTATCGGAAGATATATTGGATTGCCCATAACAAAATATGGTCACTGCTATTCTAATTTAATAACAAGGGGTACTCTTAGGACAAAACTAGCGAAATGAACCCTCAATTCTTGCCCATCAAGGACAAAAATTAAAGGTTGATTAAAATTTGTCATACAGCGTCGTCATCGTGTACCGGCGAAGGGCTTCAAATTTAGGCCTTTACTCGGCACTTTGAACCATTTAGCACATAGAGTTCTTTTCCATGCCAACACCTGCAGAAACAAGTGATCTCGGATTTTAAGGTCTCATCCAAAAATCTGAGACTTTCACTTCAAAGTGCTGAACGCTCGGCGAAGGAAGACTAAGAGGCAACTCCCTCTAGCATACATGTAATAGCAGAATTATATGAGTTGGGAAAAACCGGTATCGGCACCCTCAGACAACATGAGATTGGGGTTTCATGAAATGAGATACACATTGGTTTTCTTTTCGGAATTTGTACTAAAATCCTCCATCTTCTGACGTTCCACTTTTTTCAATTACAATAAGAGAATCATCCAAGATTACTTAAGTTTGCACTTGATTTCTTATCATGAAAGAGAGAAGGAATATTGCGTCTTGGACCAGACAATTTTTTTTTAATAAATATGGATATTTTGGGTTCGGAAACCTGCATTTTAAGAATGATAATTATACTTTAAATTATTAAACACATTTTACAAGGAACCTCCCATTCTGAAATCTGATTGATATCTCAGAGGAAAAGAATAAACATTCAAAAATTACAAAACGTTGATCATTTAGGAATAAGAAAATAAAACTTTTACGTGAATCATATATAAATAAGAAAATAAAACGTTTATTGAAGAGTGAGTACCTTTTTTACATAATTATACTAAAATAACTCTTTAAATGTCCTCAAGCAGTTCCTGCTTCCTCACTTATAATAATAAAACACCTACGGAAGCTTTGGGAGCAAATGTTAATGATCTTCAATTTTGTCTAAGAAGAGTTCAGCTACACAGCATTTCCCCTTGCAAAAGTGTATACTTTGTATTTAAATATGCGGGAATGGCGCTAACTTTTCAAGGCCAGAAACATTTCATTATCATTTTACTAGCAGAATGACAGTTTGCTTGATTTTTATTTTATTGAGGAGTAAAGAGGCTTGGTTGAACATTTACTCGAACCCGGTAGGTTTTATGAAGTCTGCTGGCCCGTAAAAAGAAATTTCAGTTTTGGGCTCAGAGTCATACATTGTCATTTTGGGGGGGGGGGGGGGAAATCAAAATAAATCCATTGCAAAAAAAAATTTAAACAGACGTTATTATTGAGGGGCCACAAGCGAATGGTAGCTCTGTTTTTTTTTTTTTTTTGTTTTTTTTTTTTCCAGTCCCTACGGCCATGGTTTCAGAATCCAATATTCATGTAGATATGGATTCAAACGCACGTCATGGTGATCTACATTTTCTTTGACATTCTCCGAGAACCCATTTTAAAGTATTTTTAAGTATCCACATCTGATTAACACTGCTTCTTAATATATTGTTGCACAGTAACTCTTGAAGTTTCTTGAATGTAATTTACTTACCTTGCCATTAGTCATTTGCAATATCATTTTGTTAGTAAACATTCTGATTGTACAAACAAGTACTCTGAGGTCGACATAAAAAATGCTTGAGTTTCTGATTGACAATAGCTATGTGGTTTTTGGAGACCAGGTAGTCCAACAATCTATTGGACTTCCCGGTGGTACCAATTGCACACCGTTATAAGCAGACCTATGTTTGTATTCAAATGAAGCAGAATTCGTGCAAAATGTGAGGCGTGAAAAAAAGAAAACACTTGCTGTGACTTTCAACTCAACATTTAGATATATCGACGACGTAAGGAAATTTCCATTCTTATGTCGATACGCTATATCATGGTGAGCTTGAGATAAAAGATACCACAGAGTCTGACTCACTTGTCTCATATTTAGATGTACTTTAAAAACAGTATTTCAGTTATTTCCCGATTAGGACAAGAAGCACACGGTGTGGCGGTCGGCAGGAGATGCTCATACCTCCAAGGCCCTTTGATGTTTTGGAGGTCCGTGTTTGCTTTGCTCCTATTTTGTACTGTTTTATGGACTTTTGATCTTGAATTCTGTTCGTTATCTCCATATATATGTTTTATTCTATTTTGTAGCGATGATTTGATATAATCGTATTTGGTTCTTCCTACTTATTTTAAAATTAAGACTCGAGATACAATTTCAGACCAATGGAATTTACTTGAAATATGATATCTGCATTTGACATGCAGATATTAAAAAGCTAAGTGTCTTTCTGTTTCAGTGATGGAGGGTTCGCTTTGGTTGACGTTGATTGCTACTGGTCTATTACTCAATTCTTCACATTCCATTTGTAAGTATTGTTTTTTATTTAACTCAATTGTGGCTTGATAAATGATTATTTTAGGAAAGTGTGTGCATAGTGCAAGAGCGATACACACCATCTTGTATTTTATTATAAGTATTTACCAAATTGCAAGTGGCAAGTAGATATAAGTAAATGCGTAATCACAAAGCATTGCTTTCATGAAGAATAAAAATCCATATGAAAGTCCTCGTTAATTTTTTGTTTTTTAGATATATGTCTCTTTTCAAAATTGAAAACTTATGTCTACATGCTTCCAACACCTGTCTTAAGTTAGCAGCCACAATACTTTTTGTAACCTTGTGACAAATTCTCAGAATCGCTGATATTGAATTGTTGGTGCTTTTTCAAATAACTAGGATGAAACAAAATAAGGTGTAATTAATGCAACTAGAGGAGATGCATAACATTTTCTTTATTCAATGTTTTTTGCGATATTGAAAAAAAAAAACATACGTTAGATTGCATATTCCTTTAAGTACATTCTTAAATTGGTTGTCGTTCCATGAGGAACAACTGTTACATGCGGTTTTGGCAGTGGTGTTTATGATTGTAATGGAACCCAAATTTAAAAAGGTGTCAAAATGAGGAACACTGAAACGTTTTGGCGATTCATGAAAACATTCAATGCAAAATTTTAAAGCATCAGTAAATGACATCACGATATTTCACTTTTAAATCTTCAAATGATTTTTACCTTTATTGTGTATTAAGAATGGTGTCTCCTTATACACATGTCTAAATATCAGGTCTGTATCATAAATGGATTTAAGCTACTTTGCATTCAAAAACAGACTGTCATATGAAACCTAGATTGCTAAGAAACATTATAAAATATAGACTCTCAAATGAACAATATAAAGGATTCTTTAACCTTTCGGTAATCTCTAGAGAAAAGCAAACTGTAGGATCCGGAAACGGAATCCATATTTATATTGATTGATTGTATATTGTTTAACGTCCCTCTCGAGAATGTTTCACTCATGAATGCGTGTATGGAAGCGTCACCACTTGCCGGTGGAGAGCTACAAATTATGTCCTATCCTCGGCACTCAGGGCCATTGGGCATTAAGGGATCTTTTTTCGTGTCAGCACATTCTGCGACACGGGTTCTCGGTTTATACGGTCTCATCTCAAGGACCGGTATCCGCAGTGGAATTCGAACCCGCGACGAAATGATCAACTCCTTGCTTAGCGACTCACAAACCAAGAAAAAAACTTATATGACCTAAAAGCAAAATTTGTATTTTTTATATAATTCTGAATAAATATCTTTCGTTTGGTGAATGCTTCCAAAGAGTAGACTTGGTGTTTGTCTTGGATTCATCTACAAGTGTGGGAAACGTGAACTTTTGGAAAATGCTAGATTTTGTTTAAAACTTCCTACAAGCTGCCAACATTGACGGAGGTGAAATAAGAGTTGGTATTGCTACGTATGGTACAGGTGCCAGGATAGAATTTAATTTGAAAGACTATACTACCAAAAATGACTTGTTTAAAGCAGTTGATAACATTGCCTGGCAATACGGCAGCACAAATACAGCCGATGCACTACTTCTGATGCATGATACCATGTTCATGGCTGTAAATGGTGATAGAGCAGATGTACCAAACATCTGTAATGTTATCACTGACGGCATGTCAAACATTAACCATGGTAGAGTAATTCCCGAAGCTGACGCTGCCCGCAAGAAGGGTATCCATATTTATGCAGTCGGTATTGGTTTACAAGATTTACATGAAGTTAATGGTATCGCAAATAAGCCATCCAGTAGGAATGTTTTCTCTGTGAACAACTTTGATGAATTGGAAGGTCTAAATGAAACAATATTTGAATCAGCTTGCGCAGGTTAGTATGCCTAAACAAATTTAGAAATATTGTGTTTTAAATGTGGGACAATCATATTAAGAAGAAACAATTGCAACGTACACTTACTGTGCAGTATACCTTGACTACTGTTACTTTTCCAAAGTAACATTATTTTGACACAGTACTATCAGATGTTCCTAGACGTAAAATGATACCTAACCAGGAGTTTTAATCAGATATCAAATTCTGGGCATATTGTTTTTATTAGTCTCCTAGGCCTACCGGTGAAACCGGAGCGGACTACAGGTTTCCTCTGCATCTGTCCGTCCGTCCGTCTGTCACACATTCTGTACATTTTTTCTAAGTGATCAAGTTTAAATGTAGTTACTTTACATTGATTTTTGACGGAATTCTGGCATTTTTAATTTTTCTTAAATGAATATGGTTAAAGATCGTGTTCGTGCTGCACTAAATTAATTTCATGTATGCAAAGGAGATTGTGATATTTTAAAATTATTGATTTGAAACTTGCTGGGTCTCTTTGATTTTTATGATTTAAAGACAGCGAATCTTTCTAACAAAAAATATTTAAGTTTTCTGTGAGTTTTCTCATATACATCACTTGTATATCACTAATAAAGTTTATACATGTACATTTTCATTTGTATATTTCTTTAAAAAGTATTTTACAGAATTTGGTAATATGTGTAATTGTTGCATACATATTAATTTTCAGACTTATCACCAAGATACATTACTTGATCTTCACGTTTAACATTTTCTAACCCGTGTGTAGCCATTTGGTCGTCATTACTTCATTCCTCTTCTAATAACATAAATTTTACGCATTAATAAATAACTTTTTTATTATCTGTATTATTTTTCCTTAAAGTTACAACTGTTGCAACGCCCTCAACTGCTTTAAGTTGAAAGTACTACTTTAAACGTATTTTTATTCATAAACTATATGTTCTTTAAACATTCAAATATATATATATATATATATATATATATATATATATATATATATATATATATATATATATATATATATATATATATATATATATATATATAAAGCACTAAAAAACCAACAACACAGTATATCCTAAATGTCGGATCTACCAAGTAGATACAAGGTCACGGATGGAAATTTATATAAAGCACTAAAATTGACAAACGACACGAACAATAGAAATTGTCAAATTTTTGGGACGCCCTGTCCCTTCCTCGGGACAAAGAAAAAGTTAAAAAGTCATAAGAACAAAAGCAAAAAGCGAAACAAAAACAACTAGCACTACTACTAAACTACTAAACACTATATATTTACAAACTTAGTTACATGTTAAATTGGAAATTTTTAAGAACACTATTAAAGAAAGAAATATGAAATACGTCCGGTTTATCGGGTATACTCGGGTGAAGTGCGATTTACATAATTGAACGAATTAATTATGCTAATTAATTACGACAATCAGTTAATCGTACATTGTTTCATTCTCTCAATATGGCATAACTATACTTGATAAAGAATAATCAAAGAGAAATAATATAGCAGGGATATTTTAAATTATGAATTACGATCTATTATAAATATAGAAATATTTTAGTACTTATTATCGGGAAAAAATAATTAACAAAGGCGTAAGCAATTCATAGTTATGTGGGTTGTTCGAGAGTTGGTGACGCATATTAACTGTAGAGTTAACACTAAATTGAGAGAATAGTCTTGTTTAGTATCTTCAGGAATTGGGTCTAGTTTACGTTCATTCTGGTGAAGTCATTCAGTTTGTTAATACCATTAGGGCGGAATGACTTCAATCTGTGCATCCAGAACTTTTCTTTGCTTTTTCTCTGAGCGTCCGTCCATCTTGGGTTATGGTCAATCACCACTACTGTCATGTCCTCCCATTTGTGACCCTCAAGGTTGAAATGTTCCCCAACGGGTTCATTGAGTTTTTTGGTCCTAATGGTCGAACGGTGGTTATTGACTCTCCTGCGGAGATCTCCTGTTTCACCAATATACTGTTTGGAGCAAACTTTGCAACTGATGAGATAAATGCAGTTGTCAGTATGACAGGACAAATTCCCTAGTATTTTGTAGCTGAGGCCTGTAACAGGGCTGTTAAAACTGTCTGTGTCAGTGCTGTGCTTATATCAGGAGCAAAGTGGTCTTCTTAAGTCCCACTTATGCAAAAGATGCTACAATGCCCGCACCATACAAACAGCTATTGATGAGATGGCGGGACATGACAGGCAAAACCTATTACGCTACAATCTTAAAGACATTAGCGGCAGGGTACCTCTGGAAACCACATACCATCCCGTCCTTAAGAACCTTAGCGGTATCCTTCAAAAGAACCTACCAATTCTCCATTCAAACAAACGAATGGCAGAGGTCTTTGAGGAGCCCCATGGGCTGCATACAGACGCCCAAGGAACCTAAAGGACATGGTAGTAAGAACCAGACTGGACAACCCATTACCTAACGGGGACTTTAAAACTTGCTCTGACAGAAGATGTCTTCTTTGTAAGCACAGCACTGACACAGACAGTTTTAACAGCCCTTGCATCAGTTGCAAAGTTTGCTCCAAACAGTATATTGGTGAAACAGGAGATCTCCGCAGGAGAGTCAATAACCACCGTTCGACCATTAGGACCAAAAAACTCAATGAACCCGTTGGGGAACATTTCAACCTTGAGGGTCACAAATGGGAGGACATGACAGTAGTGGTGATTGACCATAACCCAAGATGGACGGACGCTCAGAGAAAAAGCAAAGAAAAGTTCTGGATGCAAAGATTGAAGTCATTCTCATTCCGCCCTAATGGTATTACAATGTAACAAACTGAATGACTTCACAAGAATGAACGCAAACTAGACCCAATGCCTGATTATACTAAGCAAGACTATTCTCTCAATTTAGTGTAAACTCTACAGTTAATTTGCGTCACCAACTCTCGAACAACCCACATAACTATGTACTGCTTACGCCTTTGTTAATTGTTTTTTCCCGATAATAAGTACTAAAATATTTCTATATTTATAATAGATCGTAATTCATAATTTAAAATATCCCTGCTATATTATTTCTCTTTGATTATTCTTTAGCAAGTATAGTTATGCCATATTGAGAGAATGAAACAATGTACGATTTACTGATTGTCGTAATTAATTAGCATAATTAATTCGTTCAATTATGTAAATCGCACTTCACCCGAGTATACCCGATAAACCGGACGTATTTCATAGTGGTCCGGATTTCTTTCTTTAATAGTGTTCTTAAAAATTTCCAATTCAACATATAACTAAGTTTGTAAATATATAGTGTTTAGTAGTTTAGTAGTAGTGCTAGTTGTTTTTGTTTCTCTTTTACCTTTGTTCTTATGACTTTTTAACTTTTTCTTTGTCCTGAGGAAGGGACAGGGCGTCCCGAAAATTTGACAATTTTTATTGTTCGTGTCGTCGGTCATTTTTAGTGCTTTATATATATATATATATATATATATATATATATATATATATATATATATATATATATATATATATATATATATATATATATTGACATGCTACTATATATTCCATACATGGTCATTTCTTCATCATTTTCTCGTTTGATGTCTAATGTCTCTAATTCAAACCAATGTTCCGATTCATTCATAAGAATTATGACCATTACAAAAAGAGGAATAGCTAGAAATGAAAAAAAGTAAATATAACAGACTTTCATCCAGTTCCAACAAATCTATAAGTAATATAAATCTGTAAAGAGGGCATGTACACGGAATTCCAGATGTGAAAGAATATTTTTTTTCATAGAGGCAATTTAATTTAATGCTTAATATTAGTAATAAAAAATCTATTGTTACCATTTGTTTTCCATCAGGTTTTGGCTTTGAGAAGGTAGATTTGGTTTTTATCCTGGACTCCTCAACGAGTGTCAGTCAAAGTAACTTCCAGAAAATGCTGGATTTCTGTAAAGATTTCCTGAAAGAGTTTGACATCGATTCTGGGACTGTTCGAGTAGGAATTCTAAGCTACAGTACAATAGTGCATGATCACTTCTTTTTGAACTCCTATAACACTTCTACAGGCATGTTCAATGCTATTGACACAATCAGTTGGATTTTTGGAAGTACCAACACAGCTGACGCAATCAGAGATATGAGAGAGAAATATTTCTCATTCGCCAATGGCGATAGATGGGACGCTCGAAACATTGCTGTTATTCTGACCGATGGTGTTTCTAATATCAATGCAAACAGATTGCAAGATGAAGCAAGACAGGCAAGGAACGAGGGCATACATATCTATGCGATAGGAATTGGGCTGAGTGATGTAACTGAATTAAATCAAATAGCGTCCGTTCCTGCCTCCGAAAACACCTTTATTGTAAATAACTTTGATGAACTGAAAGACTTGGATGAGCGGATCATTAGATCTCTATGTCCTGGTTAGTATTAAGGTATCAATTGATTTTCATGAAAAACAAACTTTTAAACGCTTTTTTAGATCCAATGAAAGGAAGTTTAATTAGTTTGATAATTTTCTTTAATATTTTCTTTGATATTTTTTCCAGTATCATCACCTATGCCCACCAGAACTACGAGTAAAACAATATTTTTTTTACCGAATATATTTTTATTTGAAATTAATTTTGAATGTGTCGAAACTAGAAATAATTTTCTAGATTTCAGAAACATTTTTCACATACTATTATATACAAATTGAATTTCATATTTTATAGCCACAACCACCACCAGAAAACACAACACAGCTAAACCACGAACAACCACAAAAACTCTGACGACTCCAACAACAACAGTTCTTGAAACAGAATATCATTATTTTCCATTTACAACAACCATAACAACCACAACTTCCCCACCACGTGGTTCCGGATATGATGTTGTCATCATGATGGATTCCTCAGTTCCAGAGAAAACGTTCGACGCCATGAAAAAATATGCCAAGTCTCTGGTCAATAGATTCGACATCGACAACAAAGAATACGCTGTGGGCCTTATGAGATATGGAGAATCAAACGATATGCAATGGAATTTAAATAACTACACTTCAAAAAAAGAAATTATTTCTGCTGTTGATAGAGTGGGTCATAAAAGAGGAACGTCATCTGATGCAGCAAGTGCCATCCACATGGTACGACTAAGAATGTTCAACAAAAGAAATGGCGATCGAGCCTTCGCTCGAAATCTCATTTTCTTAATGACAGCAAATGAGAGGAGTGATGATATGTATGCCACATGGAATGAAGCAGAAGAGGCAGAAAAAGAAAATATTAACTTGTACACGGTTGGTTTCGACTTAGACGATACAACGGAAATTGATGAGACTTCAACCCACCCACCCTATATTTATCGTCATCTGATAAATACAGAGGAGGGTGATGATGCTATAGACAATTCCACAGCAGAAATTGTCTATTTAAGTGAGTGTTTGTAATTCACAAATTTTAACTTGTAATTTTTATTAAGAAAAATTTATTTCTAGATATACATAGGGAAATACATATACATGTATGTATAAAGAAAGTTGTCGTTTGACTATTAAGGGCATACAGATAACGAACAGCATTCAATATCAAAGTTCACAAAACAGTACAAAATAGGAGCACAGCAAACACGGACCTTCAAAACATCGGAGGTGGGATCAGGTGCCATGGAGGAGTGAGCATCCCCTGTCGACCGGTCACATCTCTCTCATGATCTGGAAACAACGGAAAACTCCGCTGTCAACCCAGGAATAAACAATAGCCTAACAATAGTATAACGATCGCGAAACGACCACGAAACGATGACTATACAATTTTGTATTGTTAAAAGGTTAAATTATTGAATCTTTTTCATGGTTATTTTTCATTCTGTAGAAATGTACAAACCAAATTTTATCTATTTCTATCTTAAAAAGTGGATGAAGATGTATTACCATCAAGAACGAGACCGAAACCTACAACCACCATTACCACAATGATGTCAACGTCAACAAAAAGTAAGCTTAATGAACCATATAAATAATAAAATTAAATGAAACATCTTAAATTACTTGTACATGTACGTATATACACGTAGGATAAATTCACATACATGTATATGAATTTAAAATCGTTTTGAGATAAAAAAAAAAAAAAAATTATCTTCTTCTTTTATAATTTCATTTATTGTAAAACAAAAATCATTGTTAGAACTTGTGCTCAGGTTAAAATACTTTAAAGTATGTATTTCTTCATATCATATTCCTTAGAATATAAATTCTTATTCTAACATTTCACAATGTTACATACATTTAAAGAAAGTTATTTGACGTGCTTAAATGTAAAAACCTGGTCTTGGCAACTTTCTGATTTTACGATAGCTATTCATTTCAAAACTCTTTCACTTTGATTTCCGAAATTTGAATTGTTTATCTGTTGTACTTTTTAATTTTGGACAGCTATTTGCAGTTCTTTAAATGCAAAGCTACCTAAAACCTACCTAGTCCTTGTTGCATCCATAAGCACATGGGCCAGGACTAATAATTTTATTTTTCTCTATTTTTAGGCATCCTTTCAACCTCTTTCCAGGGAAGTTTAATGTCTATGAGTTCTTGAATTCTGTTCTTTTTCGCCTTCATTTGTGCTTTGTCAGTCTTTCATCCCTTTCTCTTTTAGGGTCTATCTGAGTGCAAGCCTTGTAATATCATTGCTCTCTTGGGACATGGTAAATTCATTGTTATATATATATTTTTCCTCAGTAAAGTCCTCATATCTGGGGTTTTTTTTCATTAAGAGGTTTTTTTGATTACTTTTGTAGGCCAGGCAGAATATCCATGAGATTTTTCTGAGGCATGCATAAAGAAATACAGTAAAACTCGTTTAGAACTAACACAGATATTGCGAATGCAAAAATATAGCGTAGTTATCTAGTTGGATCCCTTATACGGATTTAAAGGTACTTGGACACAGATTTGAAGTCAATATTTTCTCTATAATATTACGACTTACCATGGCTGTTCAATAAATAATGTCCTGAACGGTATGACATACAATACAAATATCATATTACATTAAACTTGACTTTTTCTCGTTATTGAATCTTTACTGAATTTATAACAGTTTATGTGATCACTTTTCATTACATAGTTTCATCGTGAGAAGCTGGGAAACAAGGGCTATTAGAGACACTGCATTAAAAATGAATGATAAAGAATCAGTAAACTAGAGTGAAAATAAAAGCTACATTAAAGCTGCTGTAAAACGTTAAAAAATCCCACAGAAATATTCACTGAAATGTGTGACATTTACAACAATTGATACATGTTCTATAGACAAATGAGCAGGTGGATTTCAATGATAAAAAAATTATATGATGGCAATCAAAAACAGGCACCCTCCTTGCCATCAAAAATTATAACAACTTATGTTCTGTTTGCCAAATTTCAACAAATAATATTTGATGATATATAATTGACTTTAAGACACATAGCAAATTTGATATACATCATATCGAGGGTAGTTTACACTGTTTTTAAGAAATGTTTGACAGTAAAAAAGCTTGGTATTCACAGGTCACCCTATATTTTTTAAAATGAGTGAAAACAACAGCGTGTATGAAAGTCTCAACAATTATTTTAAAATATCAGTAATTGACGTTTGTTTTATATTCAAAGAGATATTGGAACATGAATCTATTGCTTAAAACCATCAAAAAAAATTTACAATAAGATGTACTTGATAAAAACGGCGAAGGTCTGCAAGAGCACAAAGACAGATTTATATTTTTCTTAGATATTAGTGGTATTGTTGTTCAAATTCGTATTCGGGGAGACTGTTTAATATCTGGATGAGTCTAGAAAGTAATTTTTTTGCAAAAAAATCAAAAGGTTTATTAGAGGAAGGACCCAGAATCAGCAATCCACTACATTGAATTTCTTCAAGACAGCGTCCAAACCTGCATGCCCTGAAGAGTAAAGGGGTTTTCGGGATGAACAGAAAGTTAATGTCTATTCACATTAACAACATTTGCCAGATCTTTGAACTTTTGACTTGTTTCTATTTCCAAACGTGAAAAAACACCTTTCAGAAGGAAAAAACAAGTCCAGGAAATCATTGGATCTGCCAATTTCCATGTTGAAAACAATCAGAAATTGGACAGAAAATGTTTCGGACATCTGTTTGAATTAAAAGAGATTAATATGTAAAATCATGAAGACTAAATCATTGAAAATCGTCGTTTGCTTCCTTCTGAGCACCGAGGACATTATTTATTGAAGAGCCCTCGTATATATTTTAATAGCATTTCACACAAAAATCAATTAAAAATCTTATTTCATTTAAAAGTTATTTAAACTTCAAATTTTTTTGCAGGTTTGATTGACACATCCTTGTACTTTTACAAATTTTAAACTTATTCTTAATCCTTAGGAAAAGTGGCAATTTTGTTGTGTATTAATGAGAAATATTAAAGCTTTTATCCAGGAAAATAATTTTATTCAGAGTAGAAACATTAGAAAGCAAAACTCCTTCACAAGTATCGTCATTCCGAACTAAGAGTACAGAATTTAGCAAATCGAGCACACCCGTGTTATGTACACAGTTTTTGTAAACAGGGCACTAGTTTTGTTATTATTTATGTTTACAATCACCGGGTAAGTTCAATCGTCACAGTCTGCTTACCACAACTGCACGGATTGACAATATATTGTGTGTTTGTTTTGCTTTCGAACATGTCTACTCTGAATTTCTGGATTATAGTATTATGATATTTTTCATTAAAACACAACAAGATTGCCACTTTTCCTAAGGATTAAGAATAAAATTAATTTGTGAAAGTGCAAGGATGTGTCATTCAAACCCGCCAAAAAATTTGAAATTTTAATATCTTTTATATGAGATAAGATTTTTAATTAATTTTGTGTGAATTGCTGTTAAAATATTAGTCTTAATATTATAGAGAAAATAATAACTTTAAATCTGTGCCCAAGTACCTTTAACCAATTACGGATATAGCGAAGTAATTTCATAGGTCCCCGTGACTTCGATATAAACGAGTTTTAATTTGTTGTACTTGCTAGTTTGTTTATATCACTTTAAGTCATTTTCAAGCATTCAGAACCATAAGTAAATATTACAAATAATAGACATTTATAATACAGCTTGATTTTAGTGTGTCTACTGATACTGTTTGATTTTCGTATATTTTACAACTTGATAAAATATTCTCTGCTTTTCTCTGCTAATACTCCTTTTGGCCCTTCTCGGCACCACCATCTGATATCACTTTCCTTACCAGATATGTAAACATAACTAGTTTGCATTTGTGTCTCCAGATGAGAAACTTAAAGAAGTGACAGGTCATTGGCATGATTAAGTCTTTTAGATTACTGAAAAGGGTCCATGGGATGCCTGCGGTGTCTTCACTGAGGGTTGATCTCGATATAAAAAATGTCACTCCTTGCATTAACTCAAATTTTCTATTTAAAAAAATCCTATTTTGTCCTCATTTATGAACAACTCCATGATATTATATATATTATACATTTACAACAGTACCTGTTCGTAAGCGTAGGTTCTTAACAACAAGGAAAGTACGGTTTTAGCTTTATTGTGTCCTAAATATTTAATGTTTTCAAAATGTTTTGGAACTGACTTAAACATCAAATAAGTATTTGATTGAATAAATCAGAAAAGTATATTGCAGGAAGAAGTACATGTACCATTCGAAAAAGTCTCAAAATGACTCATTTCAAGATTAATTTAGAAAATAGTGTCCACAGCCGTCGCCCACTTTAATTTTTGGATATGTTTGTAAAATTCTGTTTAAAAATCACATATTTCAAAATATTAATCGCAATGCCTGTGGATAATTGAAACTGAAAGAAAATTACATAGAAAATTGGTGTCTTCTTTAACTTTTTAAGAAAATACGGGAAATGCACAAGTTGGTGACATCACAATTAGCATTGAGATCGTCATGAGAAAATAATTTGTTTAATCTTTATGCATAGGATTTCAAAGATTCAGAAAGCATGAGTTTTAATTTTAATCACTTTCATTTTTCTAGAAAAACACTGGGCCAGATCTGTATTGAAACCGTACCTTATTCTTAGGTATTCGGAGAGGTTTATGTACCACAAATCTATTACCAGATATATCAAATGCTAGATGTATGATTTGTTTTCTGCATAAACAGATTCACTTTGATATAGAGATCCGACCTATACGGTCGGGATTGATTTTTCATATACAAAGCGATTGTCGATTTCCGTTCCAAGAGATGACTTAAAGCTCAATGCATTTAATAATAATTTTGTATACTAGTATCTAAAGCTTTCAGTTAGTTAAAGTAGTAGGAACCCTCCCATAGACATTGACTAATTTATCATGATATTGTCAACGCATTCTGATTAGGTTAAAATGTGATAACTGATGATTTTTACTTCTCGTTGAACATGTATATCAGTAAAGGTAATGTCTACAGTGAAATATATGGAAATAACGAGCAGTATTCAAGCTCAAAAGTCCATTAAACAATACAAAATAGGATCAGAGCAAACACTGACCTCCAAATATCAGGTGCCATGAAGTAGTGAGCATCCCCTGCCAACCCATCACATCCGCTGTGTCTCAATTTTCTTGATGTTTATTTATGAAGGATATGGAGATAACAAAGAATATTCAGTATCAAGTTCCATAGAACAATACAAAATAGGAGCAGAGCAAACACGGACCTCCGAAATATCAGAGGTGGGATCAGGTGTCATTGAAGAGTGAGCATCGCCTGCCGACCGGTCACACCCGCCGTGCGCTCTTTGTCATGATCGGACAATAAGGGAAAAATCTAATTGCATTGTCTTTATCGAACAACACATTTCAGTGGTTAAAAACATGCCCTTAAAGTCTGCAAATAACTTAAATGAAATCCAAGGGAGCACAGTTACTAATATGTAGCACTACTGTTTTTAGTGCACAAGTTCTTCGTTAGGAAAATTGACGCATTACAAAGGTACACACATGCTAAAGGGGGGTAAAACATAAGGAGGGTGGGTTTGACTTTTTTTTGCGTCTGCTTCATTCAAATTACAAAAAAGAAGAATATTTTAGAAGAGCCCTGTGTATTATGAACGCAAGAGACTAGGAGTTATCGATCTTTGTATGTGAAAAAATTAGGCTGCACGAAATAACCAGGTTTGTCCATTTTGGAAGATACCACAGCTTCTGACACATCTGTTTCATATTTGGATATTTTACTTGAAAAAAAACATTAATGATAATCTAACAACCAAACTTTATCATAAACGTGATGACTATAACTTTTCAATCGTCAATTTTCCTTTGCTATTAAGCAATATACTTTCTTTACCAACATAGCTCTCATTTTATTCGATACCCAAGAGCATGTTATATGTATACATGTACAATTTCTAGAACGTGGTAAATTATTGACAAACAAGTTAATGAAACAAGAATAGCAGTTTTGTTTAAAGTCATAATAAGTTTTATGGTTGATACAGTGACATTGTCATAAAATAATGTATCACTGAGTCAAATGCTGACTGACGTTTTTCATTCTAATTGTAAGGCAATTATTTACACTCTGAGTTGTCGACGGATTTTTACCTTTCTTTACCGATCAATACAAGATCGGCAGGGGATCCTCACTACTCCGTAGTTCCTGGCCTTACATGTACCTTTCATGTTTTGGGTGTCTGCGTTTGTTCTGTTCCAATTTGTATTGTTTAATGGACTTTTGAGATAAGTACTGTTTGTTTATCTTCATATATTTCATTTATAAACAATATTTGATTATAAATGATTTTATTGAATACTGCTTTTTAAATAAGATGATAAATAGATAATTCTATTTGAAAAGAACGGAAATACCATATGCAATTGGTTTCATTTAAATGGACTTGGCCATCGTATATAACAATAACGTGCTTTCATTTGATTTTTACAACTAACGAACAATAAAACTTGTTTTTGTCATTTTTTTTAAGTACAAAAGAAGCTTCCAAGGAATACAGGGACCGCACTGATGGCCGTTGTGTCTACTTTTCTTGTGCTTAGTGGCCTAGTTTTTGGTGTCGCCGTGTTTTTGTTCCACAGAACCCTAAAACAACGTATGTCGTCATGAGTACTATATGAGAAATTTCAATTGATTCCTTGCTTCCTGATTCATGAATTTGTTAAGTACGAATACTAAGGGTAATATGCGTTAAAACAATTCTTATATTTTATTTATTTACAGAGAGTGTTGATAGGAACCAACTTCTCGAGAAACATGCATTGTAAGTTTAACTCTGTAAAATTCGACGTCCTTTTTTGACTAAAATGTCTGAGAACCAGTATTAGGACCACATTTTACAAAAATTCTCTAAGTATTAAGCCTCTTATTTGTCAATCTATTGATAATCTTTGTCTAATTGATAAAGGAATGAATTGGGAGAAACCAACCACACTGCAGACCTGCGTGTAGAAGTGCCTTCTGAAAATAATAAGGATGGTCTTCATTCTAATAATAAATGAAAGGAAAGTGTAAGTAGTTTAACAAATCAACTCCTATTACATTAAGAACCATGTGTGCTTTTTGTGAAGAATTATTGTTATATTGAATAGGCCTAACTGCATGATGGATTGATTATATGTTGTTGTCTTTCGAGAATTTTCATTCATATAGACATCACTATACCCCACAGTAAGACATTTTTTGAAAAAAAAGTTTCATGTGTTAATAGAGTTACTTAATATTTAAGCCTACAGAAATGAAGGATATTTGGAACTATGAACAGGCCTGACAGTTTTGGAAACAGGTCGTTGCGTCACCTAACGTTAAGCGATTTCTCCGTAAATCCTATTATCCCAAAGTAAAAATCATAGTAAATCTAAAAAATTTAAGTAAATGGATCTGATTCTTTAAATACTAATAAACAAAAGATAAGAATTTAATTAGACATGTCATTCTTCCAATACACGTAACATTTTACGTAAATTAACGTGCCTGTGAACTTTATTTACAAACATCGTTCATTGATACGAGAGGTGATCAAAAAGTTCGCGAACTAATTGAATAATTTCCATAAAAGAAACAATATTTGGTTTCAGTATTGATTATATTTTAAATAAGTCCGATTTTAATGCACATCTGCCACCGTTCTGCTCATGCACAAATTACGTGATATAGGCGGTCACGTAACCCCCTTCGTAGCATTCTGTCACAAAAGCTGAAAGATTTTTCTGAGTTCTATATTTCTTTCCATGCAAGTTAATTTTAAGAACAGTTCATTTGTCAGAAATGATCAAATCTCGGCCTTAGACCTCTTCGCTAGCCAAGAGTTTTCGGTCCACACCGCACCCCATAAACCCTTGGTCGATATATATGCGCTGTAAAACGCCGGTCACACATAGCGCCATCTGTATATTATTAAGAAAGAACAGCCAATGAAATTATGTATGTTTCGGTAGAAAATCATACACAATATGGCGACCTCCATTGAAACGACATTTGGAATGCAAAAATTAAATGCTTTCCAACAAGAAGCGATATATATGCTTTAAAGGTACTTGGACACAGATCTGAAGTTAATATTTTCTCATTTTTTCTGTATAATATCACGAATTATATATTTTATAGCATTTCACACAAAAATTAATTAAAAATCTTATTTCATTGAAAAGTTATTAAAACTTTAAATTTTTTGGCGGGTTTGATTGACACATCCCTGCACTTTCTCAAATTTTAACTTTATTCTTAATCCTTAGGAAAAGTGGCAATTTTGATGTGTTTTAATGAGAAATATTAAAACTTTTATCAAGAAAAATAATTTTATTTAGAGTAGAAATGCTAGAAAGCAAAACACCTTCACAAGTATCGTCATTCCGAACTAAGAGATGCGTACAGAGTTTAGAGCAAATCGAGCACACTCGTGTTATGTACACAGTTTTTGTAAACAGGGCTCGAGTTCTGTTATTGTTTATATTTAGAATTCACCGGGTGCGTTCAATCGTCACAGTCTGCTTACCACAACTGCACGGATTGACAATATATTGTGTGTTTGTTTTGCTTTCGAACGTGTCTACTCTGAATTTTCTGGATTATAGTATTAATGTTTTTCATTTATACAAAACGAGATTGCCACTTTTCCTAAGGACTAAGAATAAAATTAAATTTGTTAGAGTGCAAGGATATGTCAATCAAACCCGCCGAAAAAATTGAAATTTCAATATCTTTTAAACGAAATAAGATTTTTAATTAATTTTTGTGTGAAATGCTATAAAAATATATAAGTCGTAATATTATAGAGAAAATAATAACTTCAAATCTGTGTCCAAGTACCTTTAACGGACAGACGTGGCGTGTTCATAGGAACGAAAACGGGTTTGCACAATGCGTTAGAATTTCCTCGAAAACTTCTCAAAAGTTCAAGGCCGTAAATTAAAAACAGTTTTTTCATTGGTCCACGGTCGGCTACAACTCTCCAAGGAAAATTGACCGGCGTTTTACAGTGCATATCAGGCAAGGGTTTATGGGGAGCGGTGCGGACCGAAAACCCTTGGCTAGCGAAGATGGGCAAGAAATTGGATGGGTAAGAATATCCTTTCCAAAAATAAGCATTGCGACCATCTAAACCCAAATCTTCTGTCCCAGGAGAGACGTTTATTTAAAGTGGATAGAGAATGGGTGCCTTCTTTTGATCATATCTGATATGTTACAAATTTAAAGTGAACGATATTTCAGGTATTTAATAACTATATTATTGTTGAAATATTCAATTATTTTTCAAAGTGTAAATTGCAGGTCTTTGAAAGTGAATTGCTTCATTAAAGACACAATCATCTCTTTTCAAACTTGCTTTCACTGGGCAACATAACAAGTTTCATTTTTAACTACTGCCTTCCTTCACTAAAACGATCAATCCAATCATTGATTAAATTTATAGGAAGTCATTTATCTTAATAAACCGTGTACAAATTATTATGCGCTACTGCAAAGAGATATGCTAGAAGATAAAGATATAGAGATATGCTAAAGTAGAAGACAAAAGAAATAAAATATTTTTCGTCACAAGTGGCCTACATAATGACGTCATTTTTACATTATGACGTCACGAACATGGAGCAAAACTTTATTCAGCCTATGCTATTTATAGAACTTTTGTATGGCTATGTGTGTACCATTTTTTTTTCTAATCTGAATTGAGGTTTTGTAGATATAAAGATAGTTCACGAACTTTTTGATCACCCCTCGTATAGCATAATGACTGAAGATAAAGTGTTAGTAAATATGCCTTCCTTATCGATGAACATACCGGTATTTCTAGGAATTGTACGAAATCAAAGAGATATATTTATGATTTTTTTTTTATTTTAGATAATTATTTTTTTAGAATAAACTATCAGCTATTTTTTTTTTCAATATTTCAACTTCAATTTTAACTAGAAAATTAAAAACGAATATTGTCCTTCTATTCATCTACATAATTATAGCCTCTGAAAAAAATTAGTATAACATACATGTGATTCTCATTATTTAAATAAGATTGTGAAATAAAATGTTTGGTGTGACTCTCACGCAGCAATCATTTAATTTTCCGTAAATTCTTTACATGCCCCCCCCCCCAAAAAATATTTAATAATAAGATTTTTCTCTCCTTCTAGGTAGACATAGAAAAACAACAACGTAAACAACCTGGAATCCCCTCCAAAGTCTCATTAAAGTACATGTATTTGAAAAAGACCTAAATCCATATTATCTTTCCAACATTTTGCCAAACATCCTTCAGTTACTTGCTATGAAACGTACTTATTTCTGATTTTTTAAATGTACTGCTTCGATGATGATTAAATACTGGTGGAATTGAGAGGTGTGTAAAATGTATATAGATGTTAAATTTATGTTGAATAAAATGTGCATTGATGAAAGGAGTAACACCAAGACATTCCAGAAATATACATAAAGTGTTAAACAATAAATTTAAAAAAACAAAAAAACAAATGACATCAAACGTGAAACCTGTGAATTAAAACGCCAAACAAAACTCTTCATCTAGAAATGTTGTGTTTATAAATGAAATCTTATTTTTCTTTCTCTGCTTTCCAATTTCGTTTTATAGCAGGAAAAAACCAAAAAGAAAGATAAGTAGAAAATTGTATTTTTGGTATAAAAATTACTATCCAGCGAGGCATTGCAGACAATGTGGTCTTTTGTAATTCATTGTCGATATGACACTGTAAAACAGAAAAACACATTTCTATATAAGACTTAGTTGTTCAAGATAAAGCATTCTTAAGAGAACCCTGTCTGTTTTTTTTAAAGTTATTTGTAAAAATGTTACATGCAATATGAGTTATCAGAAATGGCGGGTAAAACAGATTATTATTAATGAAAAAATGATAAAAATTGCTTTAAATTATCTAAAAATCATTTGGAAGCATAATCCTCCATGATGTCCATGTTCTCTATAACTAAGTTCCTGATGGACACGTTATTACTGTCGATATGAATATAGTAATAATTAGGATCTTTGTTCACTACATCTAGAAGGTCCTAGATAAAGGGAACCCCGATCTTTCCATTGGTTTCGTAAATTTCATAAAAACTATGGATTCTGTAGAAGATTACACCAGGTGATGGACCATGACACTTTGTCAAAATGGAGATTAAATGTATCAGACCGCACATTAGTATCTGTATAGTATCCATCTTGGACGAAACATTCTGGGTTCATTTTTCGTATAATAATAACTAACAATTAGGTCATAAGATAAAAGTCAAAACACCCAAGAAATAAGTCAATGTCCCTTCAGGGCTTCGAAACAATACAGATTACTACTACTATCACTTTTATGTTTTTGATCTTATAATTAATTTCATATTTATGTTTGTTTCTGTACAATTCAAATTATTACAACGATGTTTTTGATGATAAATTAAATTTTATGTTTCTATTTGTTTAGTCTTGTTATATCGTTTTAAGCGCATCTAACAAAATCCAGGAACACGGAATTAAGTCAGAGGTTTGTGTTCCAAGTCTGTTGATATAAGTTAATGGTTCAAATGACTCTTTAACTGCTCCAAACACGATAAATCCTGAAAGACATAAAATAAATTACTGGCTGCGGTAAGATTTTTCCTCTTCCATGATATAACAGGAGTCATACATCACAAAAGAAATGTCTGGTTCCTGCAGAAGACACATGTTTCAAAATCTACAGGATCGTTCAAATGATAACGAGAGAAATGTACTTAAGATTTGTTTAAAAAGGGCCGTTGATGTGAAGAAAATATGCATTGATGATATTTCAGCATTGCTTTGACTGCAGATTTAATATCAATAAATTAATACCTGTGTATTGGAGACAATTCTTTAATAAATAATTAATTATGCATTTATCCAAATAATACAGATTCTTAAAAACTAAAATGAGTACATCCTTTTTTGAAATTTGAGAGTCAAATTCATGTAAATATTGTGCATTTAGGTTTTTCTTTGAAAATTATGCTAAAGTTTGAAATAGCTCTGACCAAGTGAGGTCTTCGGTGTACAATTGGACACACAGACAGAAAATAGAAAACTCAACCAAATTTCCACCCACTCTACAATGCCATTCCGAAATCGTCATGTTTCTCACAACTTCTTTCATTCCCACCTACACTATCAAAAACTCAGTTAACCGAGAAATGTTCTCACTTTATTAGCAACATTTTCCAGAAAATATTACGTAATTCAAAATTCCTAGATTCTTGTGCTGCTTATTACCAGACATAGATTATAAGATGAATTCAGTTACCCTCACTGTCGTTTAAACGCCTAAGAACTTTTTTTGATTGTTTTGGTGTCTGCTTCTTAGCATTCCGTACTGAAAATCTCTTTTTTGTACATGTCGATTTACTTCAGGTTAAACTATATATCCCAACCATTGTTGTGTTTTGTGTCTTACTCACGGTTTTCATTTTTCACTTAGACTCTCTTTGGAAATTATATCACTCAATTTTACTTTATAGAGTAATAAATCAGGGATCTCAAAATATGAACTTAAATGAAATATCTTATATATGTACATAAGGGTTACATGCTCTTACACTATAATGTATGATTTTTTTTTTCACCATGTATTTGGTGTTGTCCTTGCATACAGAGAATGCCATTGTAGAAGATTTTGTAAATAGTATTTACTCAACACAATAGTTTACCTTACAGACAGGTTATACTCATGTGTTACCTCTGTAATTGTGTTGTCATCAAATATAATCAAACCTCCTTCAAAAAGATTGTCTCAACGAAACAATACAATATTTTTTATTCAATGAATAATTGAAAAGTATAAACGCGTTGCAACGAAAATTACGTCCAAGTGAACAAAAAAAAAAAAAATCGCAATGACCACAAATACCAACGCGGGTAATAAGTAATTTTATAGTTGTAAAATTTAAATCTTTCATGTCGATGTATTTTCATGTTTACAAGAATTGCGATTAATTTTATTGATGCCTTTGAGTTTGTGATCTTTTTCTACATCCTAAATGTAATTATTTTTATACAAACCACGAGGATACATATAACAATGAAATATTTGATAAGTGATTTATCTTGAATTTCTCTTACTTTCAACTTTTAAAAGCATTCATCGAAAATACAGGTGTATTGTAGGGAATAAATTGTAAATTGTTAATGATAAATTATTTATATATATATATATATATTATTGTTATTGTCAGAGCCACCAACGTTATGATGCAGATTGAACTTAACAATCGACTAGAAAAGTATGGTTTTCAGAATTTGTTCCCTCTTCACATATTTCTATTGTTGATTTATCGTTGGTTTGTTTTTTGAACGACAACTGTTTGTTATCTGTGCCTTTTATATTTTGGAAAAAATAAAACTACTGCCCACAATTTTCCTTTCTGAATTTTAATTAAAATGCTTCTTGCATAACATAATCCTTGTTATATAAATCACTTTGATTTCTTCAGCTTACGTCATAGGATAATGCTTTTAGTTGAAGTCTAAATTGTGGAGTATCATTAATTCAACTTCACTTCATACATGTAAGATTTATGTGATTATTTAATTGATAAACTTTACCAAGAGTTATAATTAAAAAAGTATTCACAATCCACTCTAACAAAACTCATTTAGATTTATTGACATCAAAAACATTTATGAGATATTTATATTCAATGAAACATATGGAGATACCGAACAGTATTCAAGATCAAAAGTCCATAATACAATACAAAATATTGTTTATATTTAAGATACGGTACCAGATTCGGCATCGGTTATTAATCTTCATAAAAATGCTTACAAACAAAGGTACATAGGACGCTCTTATAAATGTTCTAACAATCCTCTTTCTTTAATATTTACCAAAGTATTAACCGTGGTGAAGGAGAAACAACATGATTACTTTACAAAACATAGTGTGATTGATAAGTTGTTGATACTTAAAAGTCATTTTTTTTGTTTATGTTTTGTTGTTTTTGTATTGTGAATTTTACGAACTATTGCAAATATGAATAGAATTAGAACAAAGAAAAATCATTATTTTATACACTGATTCCAAGCAATTATTTATTAGAGTCCATTTTAATGTCATAGACATCGGCTTCGTAAAAAAAAAAACATATAAATTAAGTGATTATTGTAATAGGTTAATTACAAGGCTATAGAACTTACGAAATGATGACTATACGAAACTGCTGATATTCCTGTTTCATCAACTTGTTTAACAATATTTTTTTAAAGAAATTGTTCATATACAGAGCGTGCTCTAGCCTATCGAGTCAACTGAGATATACGAGGGGTGATCAAAAAGTTCGCAAACTATCTCTATATCTACAAAACCACAATTCAGAATAGAAACGAAAATTTGGTACACACATACCCATACACAAGATCTATAAATAGCATATGCTGAATAAAGTTTTGCTCCTTAGTTTGTGACGTCACAATATGAAAATGACGTCACAATGTAGGTCGCTTGTGACAAAAAAGTGATTG